CATCTTCGCTGGCAAACCTATGGAAATCAGTTTCGTAAGTCCATACTACACAGCTTTCGATCTTGGAGTTTTCGTACATTCAACATGCGACGTGAAGGGGGCATGCCCCTCAATGCCCCCAATCTGGGCGCCAACAAAAGTAGCTCCAATCCTTGTTGAAGTTCTGAGCGCAAGGTGTGGTCCTTCTGCTTGGGAGTTCCAGTGGTGCCCGCAAGCTCGCCCAGCTCAGGACCGAGCTGGCAGATTTCAAAGACGTAGGATGATTCAGGGTATTCGGATGTTGCGACTGCATCATGGAAAAGCGATCAACGGCTGTGACAGAAACAGTAGCATCAGCGACGAACTTAACAACAACAATGGCAGCACAACCAATTTACAGGATCATCGGATCAGTAAAGCAGCAAGTGCGTGCCATGTACTATGCAAAATTCAAAAAATTGCGTACTTTGCTGATGCTTCCTCAACAATATTGCTACTACGACGGCTGCGCTACCACGACCTCGACACCTGTCGCTGCACTACCTCTACCGCTACCGTTGCCGCTGCCGCTACCACTATTGACACTAACTACTGCTACGATCACTGATCACTACTTCTACTATTAATATTGCCATTATTTCATTATTATTACTATTACCACTGCTACCGCTACTGCTATTACTACCACCACTACCACTACTACCACTACCACCACCACTAACTACCACCATTTCTACTGCAACCTTGCGTTTCTGCTGTTGCTGGTGGCGGTGGTGAAGAACGGCTTGGAACCCGATTTGGAATGTTGCTGCAGGAGTTGACGTGTGGGTCCTGTTGCGGCGTTTCGTACCAGTAGCTCGTTCTAGGGTTTTTTAATGTAGGAACATTACGAGACCCGGACAAGCGAAGTGTGTCTCCTGACAGCGACGGATCGCATGACAGCCATACAATGCAATACAGCGTCATGTCACTGATCTGCTTTGACGAGGGCACTGCATCATGGTGTGCTTGTGAAGGTTGCAGCATCCACGCGATCGTGAGAACTTCTTGACAGGGCTCATAAGCACCTGGAAATTTGCCCCTCAAGCCAAGCCTTCGATATTCCCTTGCACTCTGGCCCCCGCACCTTTTCGGATGTACCCTCGCAACCTCAACGCACCGTCCTCAGGGAGCTTCAAAAGACCATTTGCGCTTGCATGATGGCTTTGAGCGCCCCCGGCAGCTGTACGGCGCCGCGATCACCGGCATTGGTTTGGCGACCACTCCCGCGACAGCGCAGGCTCTGGGAATCACGGAGCTGAAGCAAAAGCCTCGAACTTTGTCCATGATATCATGTTTCTCTGGCCTTATAACAGTCTCCCTCCGCCGGAATGCCTGTGCGCCGGGGCCGTGGTCGGTCTGATTTACACCGGCTCAAGCAATATGACTCACTTAGTAACAATAGGCAATGGCAAAGTCCTACTCTTTGCTTTGGTGGATGCTGTTTTAGGTCGAGGGGTACAAGATGAACTCGTCATCGTTTTCCGACAGATCCGACCGTAAACACACGGCTTGGCTTTGGTTTGCGACGAAACCTTAAACTCTACGCCCTAAACTCAGCACTTCGAAGTTGCAGAACTGCAGTGGAGCTTCGCATGGAACTGTGAACAGCTTCATGTTCATTCGGTTGCGTTCTTCCAAGGCACTAGTTCATGGCACTGCTTTCGGCCTAGCGGTTCTCTCCTTAGTGTAAACCAAGCCATCAAAGCGATCTTCAAGGACATCGTGGGAAGTGCAGTTGAGTTTTCTTTTTCACATGCGTCCACTTCCGAATTTGGGTGCCTGGGTTGCTTGCCTTCGGTGCTCAGGGTCGTGAGAAAGGGTTCTTACAGTGCAAGTTCCTGTGGTTCTTAGTCTGAGGATACTCAGCGCAGATGCTCGCATTGTTGTGCGGAACGATTGACGATTGCTGCACTCTCCCTTTCCGCTGGCACAAGATCTTGTCAGCACAGTTCACCACGGCCGTACACTCGCGGCTACTATTCCTGCGTTTATGTTTATCATCATCGCCATCCTCGTACATTGTTTCCTCACTGGACATGCAATGTTCATAGGCATCTTCGTCACCGCTGCCGCCACGACCACTGCCCCCACCACCACCCCAACCCCCACCCCGTCCTTCTCCCATCCCCAACGGCCCTTGACAGCAACACCATCACCATCCTGCTTTTCACTCGCACACGCCCGTCCCCATCGTCTTGCGCCCCATCGGCATGATCGTGCTGCGATGGTGGCCGCAAGTGCTGGCAGTATCTCATCTCATCACATCGTTAGTGTCATCACCCTGTATGTTGTTGTATTACAGTGGTGCATCACGATGAAGCGAGCATAACTAACTCTGCCAACAGCACATGGTTCAAATATATAATAAAAACATGTATATTGAATATTGAATGTTATATATATATATATACACACACACATATATATATATATATATTACGATATATAATGGTGTTGATCCCTTCAGGAGCATATCCTTCGAGTCACGCGCCACCTCGTCCTTGGGGCCTGCGAGCACTGCGGCCACGGCCCTTGCACTACGCTGCCGTGGGCGGCGAGGCAGTGAGGATGATCAGGGCCTGGGTTATTTCGTGTTGGACATTATTCAATCATTATCACATGTTACCACCCAGGATGACATCCTGTAGTTCTACTTTAGTCAGTTATTGATACAACATTGTGTCAGCATCTAAGCCTCTCATTCAGGGGCATGGTTCGCTTTAGGGGCTGAGGACTGGGATTTATGATGAGGTCCAGGCACAGGCGTTTTGCAGAGATTTTTTGATTGTTTCCAGACTTCGGATCCGTTTAGGCACCTTCTTGTGGGCAGAACCCTAAACCTATATGAGGCCAGACTCGCGTTTATTTGCACTACTGTAGCTTCTCGTTTGCTTCTACCGTTGTTGTAATAGGCCTCGTCTAACACCATGCGACGGCGGACTTAGTGACTTAGTGTGCCATGTTGCGAGAGCAGAAGCCCTACATCCAAGACCTCCTTAAAGGATCGTGGGACTTAGTAACTAGGGTTATAATTCGGGCAACTATACTTATAACCCCAATTAAGGTACTTATAACCTTACTTACTAAGTCCCGTGATCCTCCAAGTAGGGTGTATGCTAGGTAGAAATCGTTCAGAGGCTCACAATCTGGAGGTGAGAGGCCTTGAAGGCTTTGGGCCTTCGAATCTTCGATCTGGGGGTTTCCGAAAATTAGGGGTACCTGATTTGGGGGTCCTCATAATAAGGATCCTACTATTTAGGGTACCGTATTAGGGTCCCCTATTTTCGGAAACTCCCAGGTCAGTGAAAGGCCATAGACCTCTCAGAATAGGCTCAAGGTTTAGGGACTACGGACAAGATGGCTTCGGATTCCAAACATGTGTCACGTGGGACCATCTGTGTCCCACAGCCGGGCTTGACGTTTCGAATGTCTGGGAGAGAGAGAGAGAGAGAGAGAGAGAGAGACAGAGAGAGAGAGAGAGAGAAAGAGAGGGAGAGAGAGAGAGAGAGAGAGGGAGGACTGAGGGTCCAGATTGGTTGTTGCGACCGGCTCTGCTGTTTGGTACTGCGGACGGTTTGGGCCGAATTGCCGGGCATTTCGTGTAGGAAGGGTTGAATGGGTTCCCTCCCTCCACGCACGGAGCAAGTGAGAAAAGCCACCGCCTGTTGCAAAGACCAGACAACACAGAACATGAGGGAGTTTCCGAAAATAGGGGACCCTACATAGTAGGACCTTTATTAAAGGACCCCAAAATAAGGTACCCCTATTTTCGGAAACTCCCATGAAACAGGTGCGACCTCAACGGCGGCGACCTCGAAGGACGCAATAGCGGCAGTGTCCGGGCAAAACTTCAGACGAGAGAGATCCGCGCAGCACAGTCGTGATGGCAAGAACGTCGTCCACTGCACAACTTGTACCTATGTATGTCACTGTTTGTTTCTGTTGTTCTGTATAAATAAATAAACAAATAGTTTTATATATGTAGATATTCGCAGCAAATACCTTCTTGTGCATGTCTGGGCACCGTGAGCATGCACAGAATGCCGAGAATCACGGACACGGTGAATACCCGCAGCACTCTTCCAGGCAACGCAGGGTTCCCGGAATCTGTCGAATCTCCCCGCTTTCAACTTGACGAGCCGAGCAGTTTTGGAAACACCACGTTGAGCAGGCAGCAGCAAAGGGTTTTGTCAGTTTGTGTGAGAGAGGGGGCTGCCAGCAGGCTTGTGTTCCAAGAGCATTTTGACTACTACTACTACTACTACTACTACTACTACTACTACTACTACTACTACTACTACTACTACTACTACTACTACTACTACTACTTCTACTACTTCTACTACTTCTACTACTTCTACTACTACTACTACTACTACGACTACTACTACTACTACTACTACTACTACTACTACTACGACTACTACTACGACTACTACTACGACTACTACTGCTGCTACTACTACTACTACTACTACTACTACCACTATGACTTGCATTGCCAATGTTATTAGTATTGCTTGCTATAGTGTTGCTGCCCCGACAAAGGATCGAAGCTTCAGTCTTGCCCCAGATCTTCAGTTGTTAAGGCCACTTTAGGCCATAGGGCTTTCTGACCGTTGCTTTATAGAAATTATCCCGGTGCTGCAAGATCGAAGCAGAAGCTGTTGCAAGCCTAGAGAGGAACAAAAAACCCAAGATCAGAGGAGAAACTTTGACGTCTGAGGCGACCTACCCGCAGACCTGGAGCAATCCTTCTGGTTCGGCAGCTTGTTGCAGCAGTCGACAGTCGTCAAAGTTTTTCGAGTCGTTTTACTAAGGATGCATTCGATAGGAATGACAAGAACAACCTATTAAGAATAATCAGTAGTGGTAGCAGGTGGAAGCGTGCAGCAATCAGTCCTTCATCATGCTAGCCCTCAGCATCAGATAGTAGGTTGAGACATTTTGGAGAATGCACGTGTTTTCTAGCCACAGCGATGTTTGTTAATATCGCACTGTTCATCGTCACCTCCAGCAGCAGTGTTTCCGTCAACGTGTTCACCATCACCGTCGCTGCTGGTAAGTAGGAGCCTCAGTTGAATTGTCAACTAGCTAACTAGCCGCGGTATGCCAACAACAGAGTCCAGTTTTCGCAATGCCTAGTTAGCCTTGTGTATTTGTGCCCTTGAACATGAAGCCCCAACCCCCTAAAGCCAAAACCTAAACCCTGAGGCACAAGCGAGAATCGATCTCAACCTACTTTTCACACCGACTCCGCACCTAAGAACCTCGCCTGGCTGTGTCCGAGTTGTGAGAGCGTAAACCCTGAGTCTTGCAGCCCTCCGTGACTTCTCGTTGAACCTGCGCAAGCGTAGAAAGAGAAGGCGGCCACTAACGCCCGAGCCATAAACCGAAGCGACTGAGACGAGGATTGTAGTCAGACCCAGATGCAGAGGCAGGTTTGATGGCGCTCAGGCGAGTAGGGTTGCGGTTCAGCGCTCAACCTTCCTTTAGAAAGCAAACCCTAAACCGTGAAAGGTGTCTCTGCAGGTTTTCATTTGTATAGGAGCTCGCAGTAATCTTAAAGAAGCCATATTATACATATTATTTTTATTTTTTATTCTTAGTTTATTACTTTTATTATTTATTCTTAGTTTATTATTTTTATTATTTTCATTATTATTTTTATTATTATTACTATTATTATTACTATTATTATTATGATTATTATTATTATTACTACTATTATTATTATTACTACTATTATTACTATTATTACTATTATCATTATTATTATTATCATTATTTAGCTGGCCTGATACCTTCCAGACGCGAAGGTCCTGACGGCGCTCAGCAAAGACCTCTGGGTGGCTGAAAGGCCTTTCATCTGGAATTCCATCGATGCGCCTGGGATCCTTCAGAGTTGCTTGGAGGGTACTATAGGGGTCTATAATACAGGGCTCCTTAAAGGGATCCTTAAAGGGACTCTATAAGGGTTCTATAATGGAGGATCATGGGACTTAGTAAGTAAGGTTATAGGTACCTTAACTGGGGTTTTAAGTATAGTTACCCTAATTATCACCTTAGTTACCAAGTCCCATGATCCTTCAGAGTTTCTGGAGGTTCCGAAAGTCCTCAAGGGGGGCTATGGTTTAGGGCTTCCGAGCTCAGTTTTGTTGGGGTTTGGGCGGTTTAGGGTTTAGGAGTCCAGGGTTTTGTGGAGGGTTCTGGCGAGAGGTTTTTGTCCTCAGCCCGAAACGGAACACCGAGTTGCAATCCTGTGTCTGCGGGCAACGTCCTCGTGCTCTCCAGGTATCCTAGTAGCTGCCGTGATCGTTAGTGCGAATTTACCCCTGGAGTCCTTCAAACATTTGTAAGGACCCCTAAAATAAGTCTCACCCAACAGGCTCCGAACCACATGCCTCGCCTGGATTGTCCGAGTGTGAGCGCCGAAACTAATCCTCTTCTAGTTATTCAGTTCAAGAGGAGTGCAGGGAACCTGACGTGCTGCTCAAGCCTCGCAGCAAGGTTGGTGGGAAGATGGCGGTGGTGCGCTTGCCGGACGGGGGCTTGCGCCTGGCTTAGTTGAAGCCTTTTTTGTTTTCTACCTTTGTCTTTTCTCTTGTAGATCCTTCTTATGAAAGATGGAAAACCATACCCTACAACAAGTAGATTATGCTTTTAGGGTTTGAGTCTTCAGGCAAGGTGCCGCGAGAACCCCGGATACGAGTCTGATGTTGACTGGGGTTGGGGTGTGTTCGATAGGGTTGAGTGTGCCTTAGCTTGACGGTGGAAAATGCACCATACTTCAGTTGTTAGCAAGACGATGCTTGTCAAAACAATAGCGATGCCTTTAAAGGTGTGTGAGCTCCGCTAGCTACCAGCGCGAGCATCATCCCCACACGGGCCATGAGAGCTGTGGCCAGAAGACAAAGTATGTGGCTGTTTGTGTGTTTGTGTGTGTGAGGATGAAGGTGATGATGGCTGTGGCGGTGGTGATGGTGGTGGTTGACAGTAATGCTAACAATAACGCTAGTGTAATATGATAATATAGTACCCTCAATAGTAGGATCCTTATTTTCAGGAAACCAAAATAAGGTACCCCTAATTTCGGAAACTCTACATATGATACCTGGGTCTTGGGGTTCTGGCTCGGCGCTGCCTGAGGTGGGTTCACTCGCCGGTGGAGCTTGATCAGGCCGGTTAGATCAGATCTGGGCCAGACTTGCTCTTATCCTATACTCTAAACCCTGAGACACCCTGCAATGCGGGCTTCGTCCTTGCTAGGTAGGAGGGAAAAGAACCCTTAAACGTACCTACTTCTGCAGACCTTGCCAGGCTTGTCCGAGAGTGAGTGTCAAAAAAAGCCCTTTAACCGGTGTCAAGAAGACCGTTTGACAACTCTACATCATCGTGGGGTCACAAGTGCAGTGCTTTTATACTGTAGTGCTTGTCGAAAGACCCTGGAACCCCCCCAAACCAAAGCCTATCACCTAAACTTTAAATCCTACTTCTCAGCATTCACAATTGGGACAAGCCTGCTTCCCGACCGGGTCCCAACCAAACCAACCTCGCCTGAAGTGACCGAGTTGCGAGAGTTGAACCAACCTAACACTAAACCGTTAACTAACCACTGATATTGGGGGGGCTCAGGAGCCAGGGATGATGATCATCCCTATTAAATAAGGAGCTAAAGAGCCAAGGGCACCCCAAAACCTCTGGTTAGGTTAATCATCCAAAACCTTCAAGCACTAAACCCTACTGTAAACCCGTATAGTACCCTGTACAGGAACCCTTATAGAGCCATTTAAAGGACCCCTAAACCTAACCCCTACTTCCAGGAGCTCAGAGAAGCGCTGCAAGAGCTCGGCGCAGTTCGGCACATCGTGTCACCCAACTTCGAGCATGCGCCCTGGCAACAAGAGACTCCTTGGAAGGTTGAAAAAAGATGGCTTTTGCAAAAGATTGTTCCCTGTTGGGTTGAAGTCTCAGGGTGATTTGGGGAAAAGGGTTTAGGGTTTACGTTTAAGGTTCAGGGTGATTTAGGGTTTGGGTTTACAGTGAACTTCAGAAAGTTGGAATGATTCGTGCTAGAATATTGCTTGAATCCCCGGGCGCGAGGATACCGGGGTTCCAACTTTCTGGCTTCTACTTTCAGACTTTCAGGCTCAAGGGTGATTTGGGGTTTAAAGTTTCAGGTTGTGGGTTGAAGGCTCAGGGTGATTTAGGGTTTGGGGTTTAAGGTTCAGGGTGATTTAGCATCTGGTTTTCATGGGGGCGAAGTAGCAAGCCTGTGACTGTTGCAAAAAGCGTGTGGGTTGGGGTTGGAGGCCTAGCATGTGCGTGTCAGGTTCACGATAAATTTAGGGTTCGAGGCTAAAGGCAGACTCTTGAAGCCGCTTCCCTGCTACGAAGGCACGGAGGCTTTGCAGACTTGGGCCCGGGGTTCGAGCACCTAAAAGCTTCATGCCTGCTTTCCTGGAAGTGAACTGGCGGCTTGTTAGTTCTAGTATCTTATGCAAACTTGAATGCCGAAAGCAGGCTAAATAAGCCTATATATATATATATATATACATATGTATAGCACAGTGTGTGTGTGTGTGTGCACAAGAAGAATACCCTGGGTTGACGACTATCCCAGCAAGGTTAAGTGGGCTGCCCAGTGGAAAGGCGCATTTCCAGACGCCACACTCTGGGGAACCCCAGGCACGGAAATTGGTATGAAGCAAGCGTAGGGGGAACCATTTTTCAATTTGGCATCCAGGTCGTCCCCAAAGCTACACACGGCATGCATTGGTACGGGATCCAGTTTCAGGCTTCGACATGGATGGTACAGAAATGGTCGGGTTTCCAAAGAGGGATTGACAGTTCTAGGAGTTCGAATTACGCCATGACCCTACATATCATTAGCCGTGGTCCTCCCAGCAAGCCCTCATCCCAACTCCCAGGCCCCAATTCCGGGAGGGCGCATGGACTCTGATTTCCTCACCCTCAGATGTTTGAAGGGTCATGGGACTTAGCAGGCAGGTTTATCTAAGCAGGGTAGCTGTAGTTACATTGCCTGCAGCCCCAACTCAGGTGTGTATAGCCTTACGGCTTGACTTACCAAGTCCCCCGTCCCTCAAGTGGCCACTTGGAGTTTCAGGGATAGTTACATATGGCGTTTATAAGTACGAACCATAGTTACAACCTGTGTTGGGGGGACTTATAGCCCCAGTTATAACTACCCATGAACCTCCGAGCAGGAATGAAGGACAAGTTCCCGAAGATCCCCTTCGACCTGGAGCTAAAGAGAAGCTCGGCTCGCGAGCAGTTGCTCCGAAGGGTTTATGGGTTTTTGGCTTAAGGGGTTTAAGGTTTAGGTTGTTCAGTGGTGCAAAAGGTTGTTCAGTGGTACCCCGGCAACGATGAGCCCGGATGCCAGCAAAGGGTTGGGGGTTTCGGGGGTTTAGAGTGAAGCGGTCGGGTCAAGCCTAGGGTTTGGGACTTAACGTAGCAGCCAGAAAGCTGGAACGTCATTTCCCCATCCCTTGAAGGTGGAGCATAAGAAATCCCGGCAATCATCCTTAATCCATGTTCCAACTTTCTGGGTTCAGTATAGGTTCAATTCAACATAGCATAGGACCGCGGGTTTAGGATTTAAGGTTTGGCGGCGCAGGAGCCTGAATGTCTAGAATAGGGTTTCGCAGGCGGGTTCCTGACTATAAGTATGGTATAATTAGTTCTCTGCCCCAAACCCTTTTCGAGCTGCTAAGACCCTCGATGCTAGCATAGTAGCTTCAAGTCTTGAGCCCCCGTAATATAATCTAACTGAACCACTGCATTTCATGTTCACTCACGCGGTCGTAAAATCTACACCCGCGGCCCTCTGAGGGCGTCATGCTGGCCCAACATTGCAGGCTGCCGCTTCATGTCTCGATTTTCGCAGGGCCCCCCTTATAATTCTGCAGTCTACATTCGGCTCCCTGCTGTGTCACTTGCTTCTGCAAGAGCTTCGAGCCCGCTGTTTCAAACTCGCCTTAGGCCCTAGACCCGAATCCTTAAACTCAACACCCCTAAACCCAACCCACCCTAAACACCAACTCCCCAAACCCGAAACCCAGGCAGCGGGTCGGCTCCAGCTGAATGGGGCGGTGGTCTTCTCATGTGCTTTGCAGACTGTGAGAGATGCCTGGATCGAAGACTCGGAGACGTTGCAAAACCTAGGGCTTTATTCGGGATTTGCGGTCTCAGGCTCAGGGAGTTTGGAGTTTAGGGGGGGTGAAGGGCTTAGGGAGTTTGGGGTCCAGGGTTTCGTCGTCGTGGTGTCATCAATGGTTTTCGAGTTTAGGTGTTGCTGTTCTTGCGACGCGCTGCTGTGGTGGTTGATGTGCTGGTTGTTGTTGCTGTTGTCATCCGTTTTGTTCGGTGATGTCGTGTGTGCTGTCCCTACCCTACATCGGGCCTTCCAATTCGGCGGAGATCCCTCAAATGCCCCCCGAACGGCCAGAAATGTGAGGAACCCTTGACCGTAAATGCCTACAGTGACGATAATCTGATTTCGAGTGGCCAGAAATGTGAAATATTACTATCGTTTTTATTATCATTATGTTCATTATCAATACTATTATTGTTACTATTACCATCATTATTATTACTCTTCAGAAGTCTGAGGAACGCCGCTTTTGGGCACTCCCTTTTTCAACGAAGTGATTTTCTATCACCTTGCCAGTGAGACCTTGATGTGCAGCCTGGCGGAGAACTGGCGTGCACCTCAAGCCCTACTATAGGGTTCCTGAAAAGGATATTATAAGGGCTCCGTTAAGGGACCATAGGGTTTGGCGTCTGGGGTTTTGGGCCTAAACAATTACCTATACTATTTTGGGGGTTCCTTGTATAGATTATCGCATCATCTACCCCAAAACCTTATTCTAATTGTTATGGCCCCTATATTAGCTCATGTGAACCCGCTACGACCTCGACCTGTTCTGACGAAATTTGTCAGGGTGTTTCACTTAGCTGGCGACCCGTGCAACAGTTCTGGCAACGAGGTATAGAAATCCTTACTGACCCCGTCCATTGTATCATTAGCGAGTAAGACGTCTCCACGAAAGTTGTTCAATTCTCATCCCTTTTGTTGGATGTGCCAGTCAGTGGACCTGCCGCCAGATCCTGTCCCCTGCTTTTGCCCGCAAAAACGTTGCTAATGCCGGTGCTTGCTGCAAGACTCTCTGGATGCAACGGCAGGGAGAGACAGACAGATGCACCTACCCATACAATTTTACTTTGGTGTTCCTTATCATAAGTATTTACTAATCCTAGTATGGTGGTATATACACCCTCAAGCTATTCTAATTATTCAGCTCGCCTGGAGACCTCACCTGCCAAGTCTGAGAGCATCCTTTAACAAAGCCTCGACCAGACCCGGGCCGAAAGCTACACACAAAAACCTGCCGTATACCACATATTTCAGTACCTAATGGCATCCCATCATGTCTTGAAATTTTGTACAATGTATGATAACAGTGCCTAAACATCCCGAAGGATACTGTAAACTACTACAACTTGTAAGCTACTCTAATGTCCTACAAACATCCTGTACTGTACTTTAACACAGTGTAACATGCTATAGTTCGGACCCAGGGTTGCCTCGTTGTCCTGCGCAAAGGCGAGCAAAGCTCCAAAGGCAGTATCTAAAAGTAATCGGGCGAATCATGTTGTACGATTGTATGGGATATTGTGACCGGTCACAGTATATTGTAGTGTTTTAGGGTTTTGTAGGATATGATAGGCTCCTACAGCATCATTTCAAGATCCGGCTGCAGTCTTACTTGAAGGGCTAAGTCATTCCTCGATTGTCCTCCACGACTGGCAGGTAGCGGCTAGAAGACGCTAGAAGGGCCCTAGATACTACAGTATGTTACCGGATATTTTATTATCATATATATCATACGATAGACTACGGGGTAATATGAGGTGTTACTTGCAGGATCATGGGACTTAGTAAGTAAGGTTATAAGTACCTTAATTGGGGTTATAAGTATAGTTACCCTAATCATAAGCCTAGTTACTAAGTCCCATGATCCTTTAAGTACTGTGCATGATGGCAGCTTCGGTCTCACTGCATGAAGCTTCCTTGGGCAGCCCGAGGCACGGACATCTTCTGGAACTACCCGCCCTTTGCCTCACGAAATATCCGAAGGGTTTAGGGATCGGGATTTAGGGTTTAAGGCTTAGGGAGAGGTACTCTGTCAAGCTGAGTTGCGTAGCGAGAAAGACGCCCAAGTCAAGAAAATGAAAGCCGAGGCGGGTCCCCAATCTCAGCCCACAGCAGGTCTGAATCCCTTCAACGACTTTGTGGTGACATCAAGCACTCCCAGCAGAGGGTTGAAAAAGCATGGAATTGAGCTGAGGCAGCATGAGGACGTTTTTTTTCCAGATAAGTTCGACCTGAATAAGGTCGATATTGCCAGATGTGCACAGTGGTAGACAGACACCACGTGCCCTTAGCAGCTCCGTAGGCCCTGCCCAGGCGGTAGTGGGTGTTCCAGGCAGGGGCATCGTTCGGCATTGGATGAAGCTTCTCCATCCTTCGCCTTTGCCCGGTCCCCAATGCCGAAGTTATGACATCCTCGAATAGAGCTTGTAGAGCCCTCGTTCCGGGCTTGAAGGAATTCAAGCTAGAGTGCGACCCGGAATCTCCGCGCAAGCCAAGGTGACGTTTGCCACTGGGGAAGCGCCACACGCCGATGGCGCGACAGTCTCATCAAATCTGAATCTGTAGACGCGGCAGTTAATTACGCATGTTATCTGCCAGGCCGCCAGCTGTGCGCAAGCCCCATGCCCCGCACATTCCGCTTGCCTTTCCGCCGCCAACACCCCGTGTTCTCCGTGTCCAAACGATGGGAGAAGCGATTGCTTTTGGCTCTCCCTCTCCAGGTGCCCGAATCAAGCAAGCAGTGGCAGACTACTGTACCTAGCGAGCCACAACCAGCGCAGAGCTTCGCAAGAGGCCGCAGCACTGATGCCGGGTGCTTGGTCAATGAGTGGCAAGTCGACGCCACAGTTCAAGCATTACTGTCGCCCTTTCCGCATGGGCATGTAGTCTGCCATCACCCGACTAGCACAGTCCAAATGTACGAGGTAGGTATGCACCCAAGACTGGCTATGGAGCCAGATGTTGCTTCCGTTCCGTGGTGTGCCACAATGCTGAGATATTCGGAGCCCTTGGTTGCACAGCCAGGTCAATTCGAGCGACGTTTTCCGTGCATGCATGCAGGTCCATTTCGCTCACCTCGCAATAAGCCGCAACCTTTGGCCTCCTGCTAACATCTTCGTATACCTGTGTGCGCAAACGCAGCAGACCGAGGTTTGGCAAGGTCACAATGTAATCAGAAAGAGACTCGGAAATTACGGGAGAACGGGGAGCACTGATGCAAAAAGTTTCGCTTGTCTTCCCGGAAAACAGAACTCTAATTATCCCTTCAAGTATGCCAGATACGCAAGTGATCGAGGACAGGCTGTGAGCTTTTGCCTCGTGCCGGAGTTCTTGTCTTCGACGTCCTGCAGGGAGCGGCACAGGACCGCGCCGACCTGGAGGTGGGTGGCCTTATTCCGCAAATTGGTGCTCCCTCCACCTTGGCGAAACTTTTCCAGTGGAAGCTGGAGATGAAGGAGGGCGTCCGGGAAATCGTGCGTTTTGTTGCAGCCGAAGTGGTAGATTCCGTGTAGGGTTCCGTGTCGGGTTCCGTTTAGGGTTCCGTTCACGGTTCCGTTTAGGGTTCCGCTTGGGGTTCCGTTTGGGGTTTAAGCTTCTGTTTATGGTTCCGCTTAGGGTTTACGATCTAGGGTTTGAGACTAATAGACGTAAGTGGTTTCCTGGTGTTGGGCAAACGAGACGGTGATATTGAAACTAATAGACGTAGGTGGTTTCCTGGTGTTGGGCAGACGAAACGGTGATTAGCATCCCAAGGAAATCAAAAAACGGTTTGAACCACTTTAAGGTGCATTGTTTGTGCAAGCAAGCACAAGCGCTTCTCATGTAGGACACATGGGGCGCATCTGCGGATGCCCTGCGGGTGCCGGCCCAAACACCCCTTGAACAGGTTCTTGATGAACAAACTTCAACAAGCCGTTTTGGCAGAACAGGCGAGGTGTTGAAACATATGATTGCACGTACCGACGTATCGCGAGTGAGAGTGGGTCCAGAGTTCTAACAGGTCATGAGTTTAGTTACTAATGCTAAGCTTACTTACTTAAACCCATGAGCCTTTAAGGAACAGCAAGCGTGACTATGGTTCCCCAATTTTTTTTTGCAGCCGGACGAAGGTCGGATTTGCCCTCCGGCTCCGCCCTTTGGAAGTTCTTGATGGACAAGGTGGGCCACGGTTTGATTTTGGGGGGGGGGTTGGGTGTTCTCGGGTTTAGGAATTTGCGGTTAGACCGATGCAAAAAAGCTTTGCTTTCATTGACGAGAGATCTTGCAGCACAAGCCTTCCATGGGGAGTTATAGGTCGCAGAGATCCACCGATCGTGTTTCCAAACTTGGCGGATCCTTTTACAACAATGAAAGGATGAAGAACGATATTGAGATTCGTTAGAGCATAGCCCATATCAAGGTTTTGAAAATTTAGATCTGCGGAAGACACCCAGGTCTACCTGCCCTTCTACAAGCGTGGCGCGGCGAGCAACCTGGGGGCGGGAAGTTCTTGAGACATTTTCAAGGTTCAGCTTCTCCGCGCTGATGTAAACATGAGGCACTCGTGCTTTGGGGGTTCGCAAGCAGCGTGTGGGTTCATTTCCCGCCATTGAGCGCAACTTGTTGATTCTTTTTTTAGTCCAGTAGCTGTGCCCAAACCCCGAATGTTAGACCTGGGAGACCCTAAACCCTAACCTCGAACCCTGAATCTAAACCCCCTACACCCGAAACCTAAGAAAACCCCGGGAAAGAAATCTAGAACCAAGGTTTCATGGTACGGAGCCCAGACTCTTTGCAAGCCGTCTTGGACACGGTGGCAGAGTGGAAGCCACAAGGCCGGAGATAGGATCTATGGAATTTTGTGATTTAAGGGTTTCTACGAGGTGTGCTCGAAGGGTTTGAGGGTTGAAGACTTATGGCTTAGTACGTAGGTTTTGGGGATGGGCTTCACGGCTGTTGTCTGCTTCACAACTGTGTGGTGTTGGTTTTTCTATTTCGGGCATGCAGGATCGCGTTCCGTGCCTAGGCCTTAGGACATGACTAAACCTCCAAAGTCCTAAAAACCATTGCGCTGGCTTCCTTCGCACAGGTCCCATGCACAAGCGTGGCAACCTCAGCTTTGCATAGTTTGGGACCAGTGTCACCAACATCGTTTGAGAACGCTTTAACCTTGCATGCCTGACACACTCTCTTTTTCGTAGTCTTCATGTTTTTCATGTCATTCACACGTTGCGGGTACTGCTCAGTGTGGCATAGCTGGACCTTCGCTAACAAACCGGCCACGAAGAATTGATTTCCTCCGCATAATCGTACTCAAGCGACGCAGTATAGCGGCCTTGGCAACTGAAACAAATTTTGGGGGCCTGAGGAGCCTACTACTAATATGGGGGCCTTAATAATTACCTATACTATTTTTTGGGGGGGGTCCTTATTATAGAAATAGTATATCCAGCCCCACAACCCTATTCTAATTATTAAGGTCTCTACATGATTTATGTCTGAAAGCCCCCAGAAGCATTGCTTTGCAGGACTGCTGCCTTGCCACGGCAAGTACGTAGCCAACGGTGCCTGGAAGATGTTTGAGGGCCACCTGACGGGCTCTTCGTAGGAAGCTACGGTTTACCTGAGGCCCCCATCCCCCTCTCCGTAACGACTATTTGCTTAGGGTTTCTTGGTGTGATGTCTTCATATAAAGCCTTAAGAACGCAGGTTTTCGGTGGCTCAGGTAGGGTTTAAGGTTTAGGATTATTGGGTCTTTCGCAGGAAACTGACAGCTGCAGTTCAGGAGTCGCCTTGTGCAGCAGGTGACATGGATAGTTGGATTCAGGGCCTGGAAACTTGGCAACGCAGAGAATGGCCGAAAGCCATGAAGGTCAGGTTTGGGATTATAAGTTTTAGGATTATGGGCCAATATGGGGCTGAGCGATTTCATGAGGTAAGCTGGAGCCAATCGGTTGAATTTGGAGAGCAGACCTGATGCTGCGTCTCATGTGGATAGTTCTCCATATTAATTTTCTCTTCCTCAGCTCCCGAAATATAGCACCGCACCCTTTTAACACGGATCCTAAATAGGACCCGAAGTTGGAGAACTGCCCATCTGGGTCCCATGCCAGATGAAGCCCATCCGCAGTCTGCGTGGCATGAGCTCGGCGGGCAGAAAAAGCCGACCAGATCCAGGCGTACAGGGCGACATAGGCGCCGTCGTAGAATCGCTCACGTTGGCTTTCATCTTAGCCTTGGCCCGTTGAAGGCTTGAGACGATGGCAGACGCTGTAGCTTAGCTCCGTGAGCTTTATCCCACTTGCGCCACAAGTTTTCTTGAGGGAGGTGTACCCCTGAGGCCCGAACTCCACCACAAGGAGTTTCAGATTTGGAATGAGGGCTCAAGACTTTTCACGCGGTATTTGCGCTGGGTAGACTATGATGCGTGATGAGGTGATACCGTTGGCAGGCCGCAGCTTCATCGCTTGTCTGGGGCAGCCTGTCCAGCCTATGCATGCCTAAACCCAGCTGCTTGCATTGCAAAGAACAATAGGCATCTTCGAGTCGACTTACTCAGCACCCGTTCCAGGATCCTGTTCTATCCTACTACTTGGAGGTTCATGGGAGGTTTGAAGTAGGGTAACAAATATTGATAACCCATATTAGGGGACGTATCACCCCGCATCTATCTACCCATGAGCTTTCATGTATGGAACGGACGAAGATATCCCAACCTACAGCCAGCAGCCGATGTTATCCGGGGTGGAGAGCTTCCCATTCCCGATTGCCGAGTTCAACAGGCGCCGAAATCGAAGTAGAGTATAGAAACACTTGTTAAAATCAGACTCGTTCTTAGGCATGTTGATATTCACCCCGAGTTAAGAAAGTTGATGACCATGACCTAAACCGTTTAAGCTCTAGATCCAAAGCCCCAAGCCACAGCCGCCATTGTGAAGGAGGAAAGGATTCGCAAGCAGCAGAAGAAGAAGACTCTGCTGCCAAGGCATCGCGGGCTAATCATCGGGACGCTTGGGGGGGTAGGGCCTTAAGTCCCTATTATAGGTATAGGTATTAAGGCCCCCTACCCCCTCCCCCTACCCACCTAAGGGTCCTTATGAGCTATTGGTTCAGGGTTTGGGTTTGATCCTAGAGCCCTACAGATCATGAGATCCTAACCCCAAACCATGCAAAAGATGCAGCAAATATTATCGCAAGGGGTGTCTATGCTCATGCTCCTCGGAACTTGATGAGACTGTTTTCGGGTCATTGTGCGAACGGTTCAGGCGGAATGAGGTAGTAGCTCAAGCCATCATCTTTTGGATAGGGCCTGGGCAAGAGTGGTGCGGAGATGCCCGTTCAAGCAGGGTTGGCTGGAGCTTTAGTCTATCGAAATGTCTGGGCCCGCACGCCCCAAAGCCTGAACTCCTAGGCATGCAAGACACCGGAAGTTCGCCCCAATGACTAAGCCCCAAAGCCTAGCAGGAGGACTCCAGTGCAGACCTGTCCGAAGCCCAGACTGTATCTGATTTTGTGTCTTCAGGGTGTAGGGTGTCCTTGTTTGAGGTCATGTTGCGTCTGTTGCATATGTGAGAAAAAAGAGACAGACAGGTCTGGCGTCAGCCACTAGTTTGACCCAGCATAAAGCGTCGCCAAGTGGCACCTATAGCAACAGAAATGCGAGAAGCGACAAAAGACCAAAGTGTTGTCGTTGTAACTGGCTCGAAGTACCATGCTTGTAGTCCGACTGCGCACCATGAACCTCGTCTGGCTGTGTCCGAGTTGCGAGAGCGTAATGTGGAAATTCAGTTCGTAGCCAGCATTCGGTGGTTTTCTGCAGATTGGTCTGGCGATGGTTCGTCAGCTTTCGGGATCGTCATCGCATGTGCAACTCTTCTTTTACAGGTCGCAGACTCTGCTGGACGTCATCGAGGTTGGGCGTAGCCTGGGCGTAGCACTTGGTGCTTGTTATGCCGCTTCGAGATTTCAACAAAAGCTCTGAGTTCCTTGGCCATCCTGCGGATGATGTACATCTGTGCTCATTGCAGGGCGTGATGCGTGAGGTAACTACGGTTGTGCCACTTCTGCACGTCGTTGCCAGTCCTAGATTCACAGATGTCCATCGCTGGTACGATGGAAGCGTTCACCCGTCACACTGGAGCACTCAGGTCTTTCCCTAATTGGTTCTGCTTGCAGCAACTTCGCGATGCCGATCCGTCGCCTACTTCCAGTTTCCACAGACCCTTAGCCGATGCGCAACCCTTACCCAAGCCTCCAAGCACTGTCAATCAAAACCCGACAGCCTTAGACTAAAAATTGCTTCAAGCACAATGCCCAGTTTCCTGACTGCTGCTACAGTCTGTCTGATTCGGGACTAGAGATCACATGTGTCGCCTAAAATAAAGGGGTCTTAACAATTACCTATACTATTTTGGGGGGCTCCCTTGTGATAAACATAATATAACGGGCACCAAAACCCTTTTCTAATCATTGAGGCCCCCATATTCGTCTTGTTATGCGCGAGACCCTGAGACCTCATCTGGCAAGTCCGAGTTCTGGGAGCATGGCGTGGGCCATAAAGCCGAAACCCTCAGACCCTTGCAAAGTTCGTAACACCACCATACGCAAGAAACGCTGAAACGTAAAGGCACATGCAGAAAGGGGGCCATTAGATGCGCGGGATGCTTTTCAGGCCTCTAGACGGGATTCATGCGGTTTTGAAGTAATTCATGCCGGTTTCATGCTGTTTTGTCTCCGGTTTCATGATTTGGTAGTTTGATAGTCTTGTAGCTTTTAGGGTGTGAGGTTGTATAAGGTTTCTGGTCCCAGTCTGCACATGGTCAGGCCGATGTAGCTCGAACTTTTCCGAACAACAAAGAGTTCCAGGCCAGTTCCACCTAGTCGTGCTGCCGTGCACTGCTGAATTTCATGGTGGTTCCTCATGCCTTTCCGAAGTCTGAGCTGTAGGTGCAGCATGGCATAACGAAGATTCCCAGAGAGACTCAAGCTCAGAACCCCACACTGGGCTCAGCAGTTTATGGGGAGTGGCAGGAAACCTCTGTTCACAGCAGCATATGGCCTGTAAGCGATGGCTTTAGGTGCCTTTCTATGGCACGCCTCATAGCAAATTTTGTCGCCAGTGAGGGTAGAACAGAATTTGCGTTTTGATCATCTTGTCATACATTTCTTGGTTTCAAGGACGAACAGAAGAGCCTTCGAAACACATGAGCAAGGAAGCTTCCCGACCTGCCGGTGTGTCGCATTCCTTTTTTTGGCCACGTGCCATGAGAACTCCCTGCCCCTGAAGTGCATTTGTTTTGGAACCCTCTCTGCCTGAACCCATAAACGGTTCAGTTTTCATTAGATCATCAGAGATTAGAGACATACAGCAGGGTAATTAGATTAAACAGAACAGCAACATGAAACAGCAACATACAACAAGTATGGGACAGCTCATCGGAAAGTTCGACGCAGATCCTAGACCACCCTAGCACTCTACATGGGGGACCCCAAAAGGCTTGCTGCACCCATAAAAGTGTGGTTACCTGGCTCCAGGACTCCGGCGGCCCGGAGAATCTCCGACAGGCGGGCTTTAGGGTTTAGGGATTAGGGGTTAGCGAATTAGGGGTTGAGGGTTTATGGGTTTAGGATGCAGCATTCAGGGTTTCTGTTGGAGAGGTTTACGGTGTCTAGGGTCTGGATGCAAACGACTGATGGCCTTTTTCTGTGCCTGTGTTTTGTATTATGAACTTAAGCATGTAAGATGTTCTGCAGACTTATACTTGCCATCGTCTCTGCTGATCGCCAGCTAGTTACTACTGCAGTGGCTCATCCATATGGGTGGTTGTCAAAATTAGGGTCCCTGTTTGGGTCCTTATTATAATACGGCACCTGTTATTTAGGGTTCCCAAAAAGGGACCATAATTTTGGCAACTACCCATGTATATATGCCTGAAGTTTGTAAAGCACCGAGCAGCCGTCCGCCAGGCAAAGCCCTAAATCCTCAACTGCAAACCTCCATCATTAATTAGGGACCCCAAAAGCACATAAGCATAAGCATTTTATAGGGATATCCCTACCTTGTTGGGCTTCATTGTAAGGGGGGTTATATGGGATATCCCTAACCACCTCCATCAGTCCAGATTCAGCTGTGGCACAACTGTTCAACCAAGACACCCTGCAATGCGGGCTTCGTCCTTGCTAGGTAGGAGGGGAAGAACCTCCATCATGCGGGCTTCGTCCTTGCCAAGTAGGAGGGATAAAAATCTTCTATCGATCAAGAAGTAAATAAATGCTTAAACCCTGATCTCCAAAACTGCAAACACCAAACCCACTTAACCCTACGCTCCCTATATATACTCCCTAAACCCTGGCCGTGTAATTACTGCACACCCTGCAGCCCTGATCCTAAACCTCATAGAACCCCTACACCCTCAAACCCTATATACCCCAAAACATCCCAAAACCATAAAGCCCTCCGCATCTCTTGCGAGTGTGCGAGTCGAAACCCTGAAACCCCAAACCCTACAACCCTAAAACTTCAGCACCCCTAACCCCTAAACCCTGCACACCCCAAACCTTAAAACCCTAAAGGATGTCAAAAAAAACCTAAAATCCTAAGACCTCAAAAGCCCAAGAGCGTAAGACCCGAAAAGCCCCTCGAGGTCCTCGTTGAGTTGGCCCTGAAAGACAGCGATTTGGGATACTGCCAGCCCGAAGACCGAGATTCTGGCGTTAACCTAGGGTTGATGATACTACTATTTGCTTAAGAAACCCCAAAAAATAAAAATAATAATCCCTATATTACCCCCATAAGGAATATATTTTTTATTTTTTGGGGGTTCTTAAGCAAATAGTAGGATATAACTGGAGACTCGCTGGTTGTGCAGGCAGCGGTTTAGATCCCGTAAAGGAGCCCTTGTAGTACCCTTTATAGGACCCTAAACCCTGAGCTGGTTGTGCAGGCAGCGGTTTCTAACCATTGGTATTGGAGGAGCTAAGGCGCCAGGGATGATGATAATTCCTATTAAATAAGGAGCTAAAGAGCCAAAGGAGCCCCAAAACCACTGGTTAGACAAACCCTGCATTACCTTAATGACCCTAGACTATGGGAGTTATGATCATATGTTCATTATTATGGGTAATGCAGGATGTATATCATCTACCGTAGGGACTGTGTAAGCTGACCTTCAGGGGTTTTAGGGTTTAGGGTACGTTAAGAGATTCTATATGAGCTCGATTTTTGCGACCTAGGGACTGTGTACTTCGAGGTTCATGGGTAGTTATAAGTGGGTTGTAAGTAAGGTACGTAACCAGAAATGTAACCGCTAGTAGGGGACATAGCCCCAGTTATAACTACCCACGAACCTCCAAGTAAGGTAACCTTCAAGGGTTTTGGGGCCTTGGGTGCGAGAAGAGGTTCTACATGGGCTGTGCAGGGGTTCTATCAAGGTTCCAAGAGTAGTCGAGCAGGGGCACTCTCATCCCAATGTACTCCCAAAGGTTTACCTTTGGTTCCCCAAAATACTGGACAGGTAGGTGTATATGATGTGGGGTTTCATCGTTTGGTAGGTGTTTTGGTCTTTGGGGTTTAGGTTCACTGTGTAACGTTGAGTCTCATATTTCAGTGGGGGTTAAGGGGTATTGTTTAGAAGCTGCCCCCACCCTGTTGTAATAGTGGTATAATAGGAATATAATAGGGCCCTACTATAATCCTTATAGTCACTATTACGGGGTGGGGGCAGCTTCTAAGGTATTGTGATGTAGGGCTTCATGGTTTATTGGTGCTTTAAGCCGGGCTGCATGGGCCTCACGGAGACCGGCAGGTGACGAGCATTTCAGCGCGCCAGGGTCATCAATTATTTTGACCTGATCCGCGCGTGAGAGTGTAGGTAACCTTTGAATCCTGAAGCAAAAAACCCCTCACCCACCCCAAAACACGAAGCTTAGGTCCCTCAACTTCATCGCTGCCAACTTTTTGATGGTCCTCGGTGGCCCTGACCCGGTCGGCTTCTTACCGTTGTGCTGCTGTGTCTGTTTGCAGCCGCTGTTTTGTTTGCTGTCGGGGAGGGGTTTTTGACTTGTTGACTGGCCCTTCTTTATGGAGTGGGAGCCTTTCTGCTGACGGCGCTTCGGAGCAAGGTTTAAATAGATTTATGGTAGTTTTTCAACGGGCTTGCCCACTGCTTCGGGATAACGCTATTGGGTTTAATAGCGGGGTCGGGGTTTGGGCTGTTAGACTTTGCGACGGTTCTGTCAGTTTGGCGGTCCTGCTGGTGGCAAGGGTTATTGTTTGTGGTCATTGCTGCCATTGTGTCGAACATGACGACGGGACTGATGCGACAAGGATGGTGATGCTCATGATGAGGGTTAAAGTGCTAGCATAATGTAAAAAGGTGTGGCAGCCTAGTTGGCTAGTAGCCCACAGGGTTTCGGCCGAGAGTGGGATTGAAAACGCAAGGGTTAACAAAAGAGGCCCGAATAATGACCTATACTATTCTGGGGGGTTCCTTAGTACAATTATGCTATAATATGCACCAAAACCCTATTCTAAATGTTAAGCCCCTAAATTAGGCGGTATTGGCCTAGGTAGCTGTTTATTGATTTATTTGGTTGGGCCTTCATTGCGGACGGAGTAGGAAGCAACACTTCGCTCTGTGCTGCTCTGCCTTGTTGAAACTGCACACTCTAAACCCTGAACCTACTTCTGCAGACCTTGCCAGGCTTGTCCGAGTGTGGGTGTCTAATCTAAACCCTAAACTGTACGCCTTGCGCGAGCGTGTGAGTCCAAACTGTACATGGGAGAGTCCGAAAATTAGGGGTAACTTGTTTTGGGGTCCTTATATGGATCCTACTACTTAGGGTGCTTTAGGGTCCCCCATTTTCGGAAACTCCCACATGGTAGACTGTCAGACTGGTAGACCTTTCGCAGGACCTCCTGGGCGCTTATGAGCACATGTACTCAGCTCTAAGTCTTACTATAGAGGCTTGAATAATTGTTGAGACTGTTCTCACATGGCCTCCATACAGCTCTAGAGCAACATACACATGTGTAATAATATGCGTATCTGTATATATACATTGGTTTGTTTATCTGTAGTTGTTTATGTATATGAGGAAACCCATTAGAATCAGAGTTGGAGCCAACCTGAACTGACACTTCCGGCAAGGCCCTGGCGGCAGTCAGACAGCTCCTCACAAAGCTTCAGTCGCACCCTTGGCTATAATCTAGTGGCCATAATAATTACCTATACTGTACTACACTATTTTGGGGGTTCCTTTTTACCCACTTTGGCAGGCCGGTCTGGAGCCTCAGTGGTACTTTCCCACCCGTTCATTCGCCAAATGCAGTACAGCACCGCACATTCATTTACCAGGGTTTGGAGTTCGGGGACGCATGTCGGCCTCGGTCAAGATGATTGTGAGTCGTAGACTGGCTAGACTTGGGTCCAGTGGCCAAAAAGGAGCCCTGTTTGAGTCGGGTGAACACGAAAGGCCGCGATGCAAGGATTTGGCTAGCCCCAACCCTAAACCCTAAACCAAGCCCAGTGGAACTCGTCGGGGCAACGGTCTGATGAGGAATCGACACTGGGGGCACCAAACCACAGCCATGCCGATACGGAGAGCTTCCTTGCCCGGGAGGAACTAGCGATGATCGCGGACGATGCCCGCAGAATGGAGGAGTACTGGGCTGAGAAGGATGCTGAGGAGGAAGCTGCCCGACAAGCTGCCCGTGCTGCTCGTGAGTGGGATGACTGGGCTACGCACTCCGAACTCTCAGAGCCTACGGCGAAAGAGAAGCGACGACGAATGACTGTCACAGTGGCAGGGGATGGGCCGTGTTCGAGTACGTCGTCGCATCAAATTCCCCTTCCCGATGGCTGGGTGACAGTGACCTTGGCCATACCGCCCTCAGCAGCCACACCTGAGACCCAGGTCTGGCCACCTGGTGCCCTACGACCTAGTACGGGAAATGAAGGAGTGGCCCTGTCGCAGTCCCAGCAGGCCGACTTGGGGAGTGGAGGACCACATGATGACGGACGTGGACTGGAGGCCTGGCTGTCGCAACCGTCGCCGTTGCCGTCGCTACCGGAAGGGGATGGTGAGCAGGGAAATGGTGGGGACTAATGTCTGACCTCGCTGACGAGATGAATGGCACGAGTCTGAAGGCACCGAGAGAACTGGCTGGAAAGATCATGTGTTTTTGCGGTTCAGCTTACAACAAGCGAGACCAAACGCCCAGTGAGAGCTCACTTTCTGGATCCTGCGAGACGGAAAAGGGTCGTGCCAACAAAAAAACCAAGCCCAGTGGTACAAAAGGGGCCCTATTTACAAGCCATGCCAGGGACCCCCTAAACCCCAAACTCTAAGCCTCGCCCAGTCCGCGTTGCGAGAGTCCCAACCCTAAGGTGAAGACAAAGAAGAAGAGGCCCTACCAAAGGGCTACTTGGAGGTTCACGGGTAGTTATAAGTGGGGTTATTACGTCCCTTAATATGTAGGGAAACCATACTTGCAACCCATATTAAGGGGAATTTTTTAACCCCACTTATAACTACCCATGAACGTCCAAGTTGAGGCCGCAAGAACAACCTGAGCCTGATGCTCCAAGCGTTTTGACCCAGCTCACGCCACAGGTGCAGAGTAGGTTTTCACATGCGCCATGGCCATAGCGGTGGTTTGCATCGTGGCCATTGAGCTATGCTGGAGTGTTGGATTAAACACGCTGGTAAGCACCATGAAGTCTTGGCTTCAGGATCAGGGCTTCAGCAACGCTGACAGCAGCTCGGTGCACCAAATCTTCACGCTACTCTCCTTTGCCTTCTGCTTCTTAGGTGGCATGCTGGCCGAATCCTACATCGGTCGCTACACGACCATCCTGGTCTTTTCGGCGATCTACGCGGTCGGCTGCGGGCTTACCGCAGTGGCGGCCAGCCCGACAGTAGAGAGCATCCCACTCTTTATGATGGGAATCCTAGCGCTCACAGCTCCCGGGACGGGTGGTGTGAAGCCGAACATCGGCACCTTTGGTGCCGACCAGTTCGATCCCAAAGGCGAGGAGTCCCAAAAGAGGAAAGAGGCCTTCTTCATGTACCTGTATGTCACGATGAGTGTAGGCGCTGTTATAGCATTTGGCTTCCTAGCCAATGTGGCTACTGCCGGTTTGCCACCCCGCATCCCCAAAGAAGATGGGTTTTTCTTCGCCTACATTATCATGGCCGTATTGATGGCTCTAGCCTTGGTATTCTTTGCAGTGGGCACTCCGTTCTACCGCAAGGAAAGTTTTCAGAAGAACACGGAGCCAGTGCTGATGCCGGCCATGCGACGCTTGCTAAGCGGCAGGCGCACGGCATGGGGCAAAGTTGCGTTGTTGGGCTGGGTGCTGCTTCCTGCACTTATCGTCCTGTCTGTGTTGCAAGTCTTTTACCCATCACGCGCACTCACGATTGCGAGTCTGTTGGCTGACCTGATTTGCATCGGTTGCCTCTGCACGGCACACTACAACAACTCGTGGTTGGGCGAGCCCGACAGTGTCACACGGTGCCTGGATGCAGTGCCCAAGATCATTGTGGGGAATGTCACATTCAATGTGCTTTACAACACCATGTTCAGTCTCTTCTATTCCCAAGCCTGTCAGATGGACACGCGGCTCGCAGGTGTGGGTTGTTCCGCATCATGCTCCTTGTAATTAACTTGAAGTATTCACTTGAATAGTAGCTTGCCACCATGTTGAGCAACTGACATGAGTTATACCAAGGTGGGGTGGTAAGCTGAGAAGCGGTGAGTTGCTAGGGCCTGACACGCCATGTCTCTCGCGACAAAGAACACCTGTGGCACGAGATGGGTTTGGGGTTCTTTAGCGTTCAGGGTTTTCAGGGTTTACGGTCTAGAAGTCTCAAAGGGTAAAAGGAGGGACCCTTGATAAGGACCCCTAAAAATATACCCATAATGTATAGCCATTATATAGCCCATTAATAGCGTAGGGGTCCCCATTAAGGGTCCCTCCTTTTCCCCTTTGATAGTCGGGGGTGGGAGACTGGGGGCCTGACAACGCGGCTTCGAAAGTTTCGCAACTTTGCAGCTTCCATCGAGTACCACTATGGGCTATTAGACCTTAAGGGTACCTTAATCAACCCTCAATAGGGTCCTAATAGGGATCTTTAGGGTCTAATAGCCCATAGTGGTAGGTCCCTTCAGGCCCAACTCGTATAGATTTCAGGGAGTTGTTAAGGCTCCTTAAGGCCCTACAGTACCTTAAGACTTTAAATGCAGATGCTTGCTGCCAGGTGGCCTGCAGCTCAGCGGTGCGTTTTTCAACCTGGGCGATGCCTTCGCAGTGATCATCTTCACACCCCTGCTGGAGCGACTTATCGTTCCTTTCGCCGAGAGAAAACTCGGGCGGGAAGTCAGCTCCAACATGAAGGCGTCCTAGAGTGGATCAGTACACATCTTCTGGCCTAGTTGCAATGAAGGACTGTAGTGTGTGGTCGTTGCAGTTTGAAGACCTGCGGGTTCCTAGATCCGTCTTTCTTTTCGGGTACATGACAGGCCAAATTACTAAGCATGTGATCCATGAGTTTGAATGACTAGCCTAGCTGAAATTTGGCGATCGAAGGTACTGACAGGAATCTCAGTTGCCATTGCCTCGCAGCTCACTGCTGCCGTCCTGGAGTATTCGCGCCGCAGCGCGGAGGTACTGCCCATCCCGTCGAACTGTGCTCCATTAGCATCGGATGGGCAGCATGTGAGGATGAGCGCAATGAGTGCATTTTGGATGGTCCTGCCCTATGCCATGGTCGGTATAGGTGAGGCATTGGTGAATCCCGTGCTTTGGCATGTGGCCTACACTGCCGATCCGTCGATGAAGTCTTTGATGCAAGCGTTCTGCCAGTTTGCCATGGGAGGCCTGCCGAATGCCATTTCGGCAGCCTTGACGCAGGCAACTAAGAGTCTGGGTTGGCCTTTGGGATCTGTTTTGATTTCCCCTACTATTCTGTAGAGAACCATCATGGTAAATAATTTTCCAAGGGCTTAAAGGACAGCTCAGGAGTTGGACACCGAACAACCTGAACAACGGCAACCTGCCCATGGTATACTTCGTCAACGCTGCCTTTTGCCTCGCCGGCTGCGCCGTTTACGTTCTTGTGACCCGCAGATCTGGACCCAAAGATGGCAAGGACTGGTGTGCCGCAGAGGACTCCACTAGCGAAGCTGGAGAGTACAGCGACACTTCCGACAGCCTCAACGAGGGTTGAGGGTGCTTCGTGTGTCAGCCTTGCACATCCCCTTTCTCTGGCAACCACCCCGCAACGCCCTAAACCCTCTGGGTTCGGCAAGCTTAGGGCTCCGCTCTACAAAGAAAGTTCAAAACACATACAAGCACAGCAGACGCGATAATGAGCAAACAGGAACCCTAATGTACATACTGCAGCGGAAAAGATACTAATATGAGTTTGTGAAAAGCAGGATGAAAGCTTTATTGCACAGGGGAAACGGGGTGTGCAACTCGAGGGGTGTTATTCCTTCATGCCGTCTCGGAGCTTCGCCGAGCTTGGGCGTCTCCTCGGCAATGCCCTTGTGGCACGAGCTACTGTTGTTTTCCCCAAACGAAACGGGTAATGACTATCGGAGAGACATGGCAACTGAGGGGCTTGCCACTGTCAGGATGTACAGCCGATAAGTGACCGTTCCACCATGTGGTGGGCACGTGTACAGAAATTAGCCAACATGTAACCTGCGGGCGTCAAATTGGAGCTCATACACCCCAGGATATGTGACAAGAGTGCTTCGTATAGCCCTGGCACCTGAAACCGACGAGCATTAAAGCACTTACAGTGTATCGTTTTTCATCTCTTGGGGCATGAACTCGGACTCAACTTCTTATATATGTCCTCAACTCCCAAGCCTTGCCTTACCTGGGGTTCTATAAACCCTGAATCCCACACTCGAAACAGAAACAACTCAAAACCGAAAAGCCTTCTTCAACCCTAAAGAACCACCAAAATCCAGAACCGCAAGCCCGAACAGTTAAGCGTAAAACGCAGGAGGCAATAAGAACACAGTCGAGGCTGCCCCTTTCAAGTGGCAAGGCAGAACAGCATCAAGGCTCCAAATCCTTCAATAGTCTGTTTAGGCATTTAGGGTTTAGGTGGCTGAAGTGATTCAGAGCTTGGTGCGTTGCAGTCCCTGCTCAAAAAAAGGGGGTTTAGGGTGGAACATAGTTCAACTTCCCGCAGCTCTGAGCCTCTCCGGCTCTTTAGGAGCTCCGCCGAACGCGAGGCCGAAGCCCTGAATCAAAAAGGGAATTTCCGAAAATTAGGGTTGATGATATAAATCCTGCATTACCCATACTAAGGAATATACCAGAATTCCCACATATTCCCTGTTATGGGTAATGCAGGATTTATATCATCAACCGTAGGGTACCTTCTTTTGGGGTCCTTTATGATAAGGATCCTGCTATTTAGGGTGCTATATTAGGGGCCCGGCAAAAACGCTCGAAATACTGAGGAACCCCCAAAATAATGTGGGTGATTACCTTAGGGCCCCAACTATAGATAGTAGCCCTTATATAAACCTGCCTTTTAAACTGACCCTAAGTGGATTAGTTTGTTGGTGTGTTGTTTTGGTTCGGATAGTGCGGAGTTTGTGGAGCGACGCCCCCATGAGGACATAGTGGTTGTTGGGAAGCCTCGCTAGGGCCACTGCTTGTAGAAGAGTGCAATACCGCCTGGAGCACAAAGAGAACAGTATGCACTCGCCCAGCTAGGGCTTTTTAGGACAAGGCTGTGCAATAAGTTCCTTTCACTTGACTTAGGACGCGCCAGTGGTATACGGACGGAATGAAGCAGCTGCGTGAGGGCCACAGCCTTCTGATGAAAGTCTGGAGCGCAGCACGGTTGATTGCCGAGACAGTTGGAGTATTTGTCGGTGGTGGCAGCTATGTCCGTCCCAGTGAAACTCCGAGCCACTGAGTGGATGTCACCAATCCAAAGTGCAGGTGCAGATACGGCGGTGCTCGAGGTGCAGGGGAACTTTGCAGCGCGCATGATTCTCGCGCGGTTCCATAGTATTTAGGTTGCGATTGCTGTCATCCTACGGCCTCATTTTGCTTCTGACGCAGAGCGAG